AAGGTAAATTGAGAACGGATACTCAGTTACCCTTCTCCATTTTGTTGCTTGGGCTTTTCATTTGTAACTCCTCCATCGTCCATAAGATGATTTGCCCCTACATCTGCCAGGTACATGCTTCTTTTAAATCTCACCCCCATGTTTGGTTGCATCGATGCCGCTTGCCCTAGCTAGATTTTTTAGTATGGTCGATGTTCCTCCATGTCCTCTTGTGATTTCTCGTTTGTTTTCCATTGCCACTTGTTTGGGTTTCTCTTCTTTTCACCTGTATGTCAAAAATGATATGTTAGTCTACAATTTGAATCAATTTGAGTTTAGGAATGAACTACCCCCTTTGATTATTAGAAATGAGACGTCGTCTCTTTGACATGTCCATTATCTTCAATCATCTCGACTACTTGTGTCATCGACCATTTTCACCTATCTACAAGAGAAATGGATGAGCAAGTTAGTTCGTATGCGAGACGCTTTCATTGGAATGACTATGTTTACCATCTTTGAAGCAGCATTCCTCGGGATCATTCTGCAAGAATGATTAGGTAAGAGAAATCAACATATATGCATGAATGTTTTGAAAATTATTTTTGAAAACAAAGACATTCACAAAATACGTGATATGTCTCAACAGAAAACAATGTTTGAAAATGCTTTAAAACTTAGTCTTAATATCCTTGGACTTCCTCATTCGGCAAAAACTTTGAAACTAGGAAACGTGTGAAAGCCCAGTCCTCAAGGATCATCATAGGACTGGTTTGGGAATGCCCCATATGTCCTTAATAAAATATATGCATGCTTTATTGAATATTAAAATAACAAGGCCGCATTACAACATAGACTACTGCAGACCAACGGCTCAAGCTCCGAATGTCGTAGAGTTTTTAACACGAATAGAAAAAAGGAATTGAAATAACATATAATTCCCAAGCAGGGAAAGGAAAACATGAAATGAAAAACTTTTCAAGCAAGAGCTTCTCTACGCCAAAGGGTGGATGGATGTGCTTCTAAGTGGCTTAGCAATATCGGTCACGATCATATGCACGGTTCCAAGGTGATTAGATCACATGTTTTCTTGCACATTTCGTGGAGCATTTTCGAAAGATAATATCCTTTTATCAAGCAAATTTTAGACTTTGACCCTCAGGATCAAACGGTTGTCGGTGTCATGGCCATTTTCTCCCATGTGATACTCATATGATGTGGACATATCAAATCCAATAAATTTGGGGGTTTTTGTCTCGGAATTTCTTTGGCTACCATCCTCCTTTCGAGGATTGTCACAACCTCCCTGCTCGGGTAATTAAAATTTAGGTGTCAACAAGGATCATCGGCAATAACTCGGATAATGGTTTAGGTAGCGGAGAGAATTGTCTTCGCGGTGCTCTTCTTTTCGGCTTGTAGTTCTGAGGTGCACCGGAAATCCATGCTATTTGACAAAGCCATATTATTTGCTAAAGAATGGACTAGTATAGTTTAATCAGAGTAGTCATAAAAGATTATAAAGGATTAATTCCGTATCTACAAGACTATGTAAAAAAAAACCAAATTGATTCGACTCACAGAGCACAAATATCAATTTGACCAAAATTAAAATTTACGGATCATTGAACATTGATTTAGAGTTCAAGGACTAAATTTTGGAAGTGTCTCTTCTATTATTAATGCTAGAGAATATGAAATCGAGTTGTAAAAGAGATTGTACATCTTTATTGAATATTTAAAAATAATTCACTGGTTACAGTAGCTGATTGAAGTTTGTTGCATCATTTTTGCAATAAATCTCTGTATCATTTGTTGTTCAATTTTGTAAAGTGATGCTTATGTTGATCTTAAACTGGGTCCTTTTCTTCTGGGGAAAGTACCAAAAATATATCTCATTGCGAACCAAATGACTACTTATTACCTCTATTTATACGGAAACCATTCACATACACTCTCAGCAAAACCGTACATTGAAAACACCACATTGCCCCTCCTTACAAATTCATTTTAGCATTTTGCTTAGGGTGTGGTGGTTTTTATTATTTTTAGTTGATTTTTGAGTATTTTGGGAGGTCAACGTTGTATTTATGTATTGTCCCGTATAACTAATAAGAAGTTCTCAATCTATATTGATAAGTTTTTATAAATGACTTTTTTTGGCCAAGAAACGGGCCTGGTCGCGATTAGGATTTCCAAGTCTCGGGTTTTTATGTTTTTTGGACTTGGCGGTGAAAATTCAGGTGTCAACACATGCACTATATTGTATCATCACATGGGCACCCACAACCATAAAATAGCATAGACTCTCACTTGTATCGGTAAAACTTACAATCGTGTATTAGAGGTCAAGCTTGTTATATCCCTTTGCACCGTAAGTTTATCGTGGTCACTTGCAATCTTTCAATATCTTGTAATCTTTCGATCATTTAATCATATTGTCATTTATATTTTTATTTTCCTTAGATATATCAATCAATCAGACATATTGTCATTTATATGCACAAAGGGCTCAGGGTTACCCGGAGGTGATTGGCGGCACAGCTTCTATCGGAAATGGTGGCAGTACAATGTTGGTTGTGGTTGATAGAGCTCACCGCACGGAGAGAGAGAGAGAGAGAGAGAGAGAGAGAGAGAGAGAGAGAGAGAGAGAGAGAGAGAGAGAGAGAGAGAGAGAGAGAGAGTGTGTGTGTGTGTGTGTGTGTGTGTGTGTGTGTGTGTGTGTGTGTGTGTGTGTGTGTGAGGTGAGAGGAAAGAGGGACAGGGGGGGTTTTGGGTTTGTATATCATGCCTGCTCAATTAAGCCGAAACCCACTTGAAAACAAACCAAATCTAAAACTATTTAAATAAGTCAAGCCCATATTTAACAAAATTTCAACTTAAGCCCATTTCCCATTTTTTCATTCTTTCTGTTTTTTTTTTCTTTTTTCTTCTTTGTTCGATGCTTTTTTAACCTTCGTCTTCTTCCTCGCAGCCTCACCGAGGGCTGCCCAGCAACCTTCAATATCTCCATGAACACCAAAACCAATTGGAATATACACAGAACATCATACCGGGACCTCGACAACCGGAGTTCATCAAACTAGAGCATCAGAATAATGAACACAGACTCTTCTGCCGATCGTCCCATCTACGGCCCGACCTCCACGCACAGGCACGAGGAACAAGAGGGAAAGTTAACTAATGCAATGAAAACTCAGTCGCGTCACTCGAAGCTCAAATCAGTATGTCGAGAACATACCCTCGTCACGAACGCCATTGAGTCGCCGAAGTAAGACCCAGAACATACACAAAGGAAATGTGTCCATATACCACCTCATCGAAACGAAATATACCCAGAATCAGGCCTAAATACTAACACAACGATGAATAATGTAGTAATGTGCGTCCGATAAATAATGGAAGTTTGAGAGCTCGGTGGAGAAATCTTTGTTTTAATTACAAGAGCTCCTGGAACGCGTCGACTAAGAAGAACGCATCCGTGTTAGTTATATCGCGCCATTGAATCTAAAGTGCAGGAAACAGCAAATCGAAAGATTGTTTTGGGAGGGTTAAACTAGGAAGAATGTAGACCATTTGGAATGATTTTAATAGGGGGTTGTTCGCATACCTCTTTACTATCGAATGATCTCTTACAACCTGAAATGGTGTAGGGAAGAAAGATAAACGACCCGTTCAACCAGGTCTTTGCATTCTGAAGTCAGTACGTTTTTGAATGCTGAGCATCTGAATAATTTTCAAAGTGCCACAAATACACTGTTTTTCACGCCATGAGCTGCCATGGACAAGTTAAGCCCGTCTCGCGCACACACCTCAACCAGAAATAAGTAAGTGAAAAAGCATAGAAAGAATGCCTCACTCGACCTAGAGTTCGAGCATAAAACCAAGAGAAAACCAACGACTTTGTGCGCGACATTTATACGGACCTGGGAAGCCACGAGGAGCGTCCATGTGTCTGTGCTGAGTGGATTCGGATATTTCATAAGCCCTTGCACATCAGTTGCGAGTCGCAAGAACATGAAACTTTTTTCCTCGCAAAACAGACATCAGCTCGATATTAGGTGAATATGTCCCACACAAACAGGCTATGATTCTCGCAATTCATTTCCCCTTAAGAGCTGCAGTGCCAAATAGGCTATGTGAGTGCCGACAGAGAAGCAATGTCCACGACCAGGAGACCTATACCTTCCAAGCTGAGCCAATATCCATCCGAATCATGGCATCAGGATGGCTAACTGCTTTGAGATTACCATAGGATCCATTTCATCCATGAGGCATGAGGCCTAGCGGGTCTTCTTTCCCTGGCCAAACAAGTCAGCTTTTTGCGAGTCTTCTCATCTTTCCCCAGATAATTCCCCATGGAGGCAAAGTCATCAACTCCCGCCATATGCAGCCATTAACTATGGAGCTTAATTCAAGCAAGATTCCAGAGCTTACTTGAGGAACGAGGATATGATCCCCTTCCCATTGAGAGTAGACCTCTAAGGAATTCCTGTGAACTCCTTCAATCTTTACATCACACTGCATGAAACAGGATGAGTTTCAAGATACAAGTACCAATGCGAAACAATAAACCGGACCTCACAAAACTCATTTATAAATCCCAGAAATGATCGCAATATTTGCAGTGGCCTCATATAACATCACATTCTAAAGTATGGCACTAGCAGTATTACCTTATGATGTGATCATTGTTTTTTCTACTATTCAAATTCATGAGCAGAGGGTGAGGGAGTAAGGTAGGAATCATGCTCAAGACCACCACCTATACCTTATGCAATATTACTGATAAAGAAAAGAACGTATGAAACTATTCTTTAGGGGAAATACTAAAACTAGTAGATAGGTCAGAAGTAATCTTTCATTCGTTAGATTTGACAAACCATCTCTTGAATCTAGCTTTGTAGCAATGGCAACCCCCTCGTAACCCTTTGATGAATTTTATCTTAAATATTCAAAAGAATAAAAAGAACATATGGAACAAGATTTTGCCAATAAGTGGGATAAGGAAAACTCTGTCATACCTCTTCTTGAGGCATGGAACTAGATTTTCGAGTGCTCTATGGATGACAAAATCTTCTGAGCCCTCGTGATGACTAGAATCCTTCTTTTCTGCAATTGTACACAATTAGCCATTATCAGTCATTAACACAAACTTCTGCTGACAATCTAAAAATGTAAAGCAATAAATGCTGGGAGTAACAATAGCCACGTTGTTTATTTGATGTCATTCACCAAGTACCTTTTAAAATGATATGGATGGTTACAATGGTTACTGTGGTGATGAATTGGTTAAAACAAAAAGGCACCTCTACCATGATATAAGTTACTGAGAGGCAACCAATCACTCAGTCACCATTCTTACAATGAAAACTGATGTTTCCTCAAATATAATTTGAACAAAGTTTGGGAACAATGACACTGTTTCAACAGTAAAGCATGAATCCCTTTTCTTCAATGTTGTCTCTCTAAGGATAAAGCTTGGTTGGTATACCTTCATGAACTTCTTCATTGGACTGATCACGCCCCAGATATGAACTCTCATTCATTTCTAGATTCAAACCTTCTCTTTGTGCAAATTCTTCCAACATATAACCTACCAAATTATAGGCAATTATACTTGTTTCATCACAAGCTTCCTGGACAGCAAGGTATCGATTTATGCAAGTGCTTGGTCTGTTCAAGACATCCCTTTGTTGATTCTTCAGTTCATCATCTTCAGCTTTGTGTCTCTCGAGAGATTTTGCAAACCCTGTGTTGGGTGACAGAAAAGAGAAGGGACCATCGCCATTGGTTTTAGCAGAACTAAAGTTGCTCAATGGCTTTAAATTATCTACATCCATGCTATTCAAGCCTTCAGAACTCTTTGAATCTTGGAATAACAAGGAAGAACTGCTATACCAAGCAGCAGTGGAGGCAATACCGGGTGAGATATCTGGCTCAGATTTAATTGCAGCAGCACTGTAAAACACTTTCCTTAGGGTGTGACTGGGAGAACTACCATTACCCTTAATATTAATAAAAGGCAGGTTGGAGCTATCAGTAATAGACTCTCCAGTACCTTCCACTGGAAACAATGAATCAATGTTGTCAGACCTTCCACTATTTAATATCCTTGTATGTCTCTCATCTTCGTAATCGGAGTCAGCGTCATCATCACTTTCTTCCAATTCTTCCATATAAGCATTGGCGAAATCTGTATCATACCCAATTTCCGGAAGCAAATCCCAGACATTCTGCTTCATATGGGCACTAACAAGCAAAACGCATTCTACTTCTTCTTCAACTTCCTCCTTAGGAAAGGATGAAGGTGGTGCAGTTCGAGAATTCCTGTTAATAAAAGCCAGACTCTCCAATAAAGACCTTGGGATCACATCCAAATCAGAGCATTCGAAAAGATACTCAGTCAAAACGTTCTTGACTGCTGTTCTTAGACGACTATTTGAGACTTTAGCACTGGGGTCCAGCAGTGACTGAAAAACTTTCAGCTCCTGAAATCTAACTTTTGAGTTCAGTAGCCAAACAGCCTTCACAATTTCATCCTGCAAACTTCTAATTTCTGGTGCAAATTGGTAAAACTCCATTCCTGTGGAACTTTGAAAGCCTGATGCTAGCTTTAAAGATAACGCTGCTATAGCCATTGCTTTAGCTAGTGGTTCTGGTATACAATCTCTTGAACCAAGATCCAGCAACATGTTTCTACTAGTTTTCCTCACTTTTTTTATCAGATCATCTCGGCTCCGTCCACTTTTGAAGGGCTCCAACCGAGGAACTCTCCCCTGTACACGTCTTAGTTTCCTATACATTGCAATCAGAGCTGGCGTAGAGAGTTCCTCAAGTCTACCCAGGAGCTTTAAAGCGGCTGCCCTTTGAGAATGAGATGTAGGAGCCAAATGATTCAGACAGTTTCCTCGGAAATTTCGTGGGTCATTTAGAAGTTGATAGAGCTTCTTAAAAGTAGCATTATCCCATTGAGTGTTCTTTTCAATATGGCATACTTTACGGACAGTTTGCCTAACAAGTTTCTTCATCTTCCAGCGAGTTTTGTCAAACTCAACAGACCCCCTAGTAACAATCATAGCAAAATGATAAAGGCCCTTATTGGTCATATCATTTAGATGAGATAGAATTTCCTTCAGCAAATTAGGCATGTCAGACGATTTAACAATTTCTGCACCACCACTGCATCCTCGCTCCATATCATGTGATAAGATAGCTTCTTCAACATGCATCTTTGCAGTCTCATAGAATATCTGAAAATAAAGACAAGGTACTATTACAGTGAAGAACAGTGCCAATGTCAAACTAGGCTGGAATTTGGAATTTCCTACTGCTAAGCAAATAAAGAGATGCGACTAACACAAACCAAGGAAGCGCCAAGCCAATTAAGAAACGATTGCAAGGGAAGAGACCTAAATAAGGAACTTGCACTTGTTTGGGAAAAATATACGAATCTCATGAGTACTTCTAAGAAACCAAATAGGTAATTATAAAACCACTGGAAGCCACGTGAAAACGCAGATCATTTCAAGCCAAAGACTGTTGAAGCTATGCTTTGAAGAAAAACAGAACAACAAGTAGTAGCAGTAGTAGTAAATAAGACAAAGGAAAATGTTCTTTTCCACCAGCAACTAATGACAGTCGATAACAAATAGAAACTGTTAGGCACATCCACGAAGCTTCCCTAGTTAAAACCTTTTCTACTTATAGTTTCTGGTGCACAGAAGAGGCTTTAAATAAGCATCTCATACTCAACTTAGATTGATACAGCCTGAAATGCTAGAGAAAAAGAGGAAAATAAGACCAAATACAATATATCATAATGAATCCCGAAATGGCTTGATACTTGACACAAGAACTTACATCATCTTCCCTGAGCATCGATTCACGTAGGACCCTGAAAATGCACCGACAAATTCCTAACGTGAATTTCATGATTCTATACGTATATATGAAAACAAAGAAAAAGGACCAGTTTAGAATCTACCATGACACAAAAGCAGTGTAGAATTAGCTTGCCCAAAAACAAAGAAACTTACCTTTTCTTTAAAAACTTCGGCCCTTCCAAATGCTTTAACTCTGACTTGGACAATGGTACCCCCATCAACCACCTACACGCAGTTTCAAAATAAAACCGTCAACTCACGACGAGAACATTGCATATCTAATTGGTTCTTCTGAGTCAATCGAATTGACCAGAAAACTTGAGAAGCATGTTGCTATCCAATTCAACCCAAAAAAAAAGAAAAACATAAAATTCGCAGGGGAAAAGAAACGGAGAAATAGTAGGAAGAACAAATACTTCAAAAAGGAAGAGAGTTCGAGAGAGAGAAGGCTTCAATTCACTCCGCTACTTCGATCTTGTCACATCAAATCCAACAAAAAAATCAGCTGGAAAAAGAAGGAAAATCAAACAAAAAATCAACAAACCCTCATCTGATTAACAGAATTCTATCAACAAACTAGCACCTTTCCCCACGCGTCAGAGCACTTCATCGAGAAGCTCCAGATTAAAACCACTCAGCAGTCCTAATACCTTAGAACTCCAATGTCCTCTTCAATCAATCCTCTCCTTCCGGAAAAAGAAGAAAGAAGATTGCATCGAACCTAAAGATGCGCGCAACAGCGACACTCCATCAATACACGCGCATGCATCGTACAAACGAGAAAGTCAAGACAATCCAAACGCGTAGAAGCAAAGGACCTTCTCTTGAGCGCGAGCTGCTTCTCTTGATGCTTGATTTGCGACAGTATCGAATCGCAGTCCGTGTGGTACAGCCCCAAACCAGCCATGATCGATCGATCGAGATCGAGGTCGCGATCGAGAGAGATAGAGATTAGGGTTTCTGCGGGTGTTTGTAGCATGCGCGCCGGAGAGACGGAAGAGTTCGTTGAGCAACGGCTTTGGGGGAAAACGGGATGCAACCCGGGGAAAAAAAATAAAAATAAAAACGGGGCAAGAGATTCCGGTTCGGTTTGGGTCGGGTTAACCCGATGAAGTGGAGGAACTCTTCTTTCTTTCTTTTTCTTTTTCTTTTTTCTCTTTTTTTCTTTTTTTTTTCTCATTGTGGGTTAAATCATGATTGGGAATTTGGAATCATGGAGATCAATGATACTTATCACCCCGTTATAGACTGGGTAATGAGGTTTTATTTCGTATAATTACGCTATTTGTGCAGTTTTTTATCTCCAAATTAAGCAAATCGAGTCACTTAATTGAATTATCAGATACAGCACAGCGTACGCGACATCCATTTGATTCTTTCAGTGAATAAGGTTGCGATAATAACATGGAAGTAGTGATTTCCAAATACCTCGATTCTTAAGAATTGTGAAAATAACCATTATTTTCATAATTATGGGGTCCAAAAAAGATATTATTGTCGAACTTTAGATAGCAACAAACTTAGCTAGATATTAGTTTATGTTATCGGTTACCTATTTAAAAGTGGATAAAACAAAAGAAACCTCAATAGATTTGGATTTTTTTCCCCAAAATAGATTTGGACTCGCTAACTCAGACATGGATGCCATATGGGTAGATTCAAACGACATTTCGAATGCTACTACATCTCGGAAGCTGGATAGGAATATGATAAATAATAAGAACTGATGGCACATAGAGCCTGCAAAGACAAAATATCAATGTTTGAGATTTAAACTCAAGAAGGAATATTTCTTTGTATAGGTCTTATATACATATTGTCTCCCTCCATCTAAGGCTAAAGCTTTTGGATTGAATTTTGTGACATGGTATCAGAGCCGGTTTCCACCTTAATTTTTTTCACGTGTGAGACCCCCGTTCATCAATTCCAAGTGCTGTTCTCAGTCTGGTTTGCACTTGAAAGGGGGTGTGAATGTATCCCATGCCACTTGTGTATACCTTCATAAAGGTCTATATATATGTTGTCTACCTTCACCTATGGCTTAGGTTTTTTGGTTGGACCTCATAGTCGTTTTTTTAGTTGGTTGAGATTAATCAAATTCTTAAATGCATAAACATATGTAAGTCTGTTATGTGATTCATTTAGTTGGTCGATTAGCTTTGACACATTTCGGTTCCCGGTTAAATATCAAATATGATGTCTTGGGACCATTTTTGGTTCCAAGTTTTCCGCAGTTGCGTGTCGTTACCTTGTTATTAGGTGAAACATTTTTCTTCTCTAAGATTGTGTCCTCAGAACGTGTTGAAGTAATTGCCTCAATCTTGATTTTTAAGGCAATGGATGAAGACATAGTTCGCTAGACCTATATTTAGAACTATAATTTAATGCGATGTTGTACAAATTTATTTTATGGACAGCTCATTTTAGCTTTTCTCTAATGCCAGATGCAAGGAGTGGTAAACTTTTTTGGCCGCATTTCAATTCTTATTGACCAAAATACTCAAGCCTTCCACATGTTTATGACAGCGCTTCTTCAGGTAGTCTTTTATGTCCCGTGGCTTCTCTGTTAAATGCAATTGCATAGTGACGTAATTATTGGGTTTTTCAGTCTCTATCTATTAAGAGGGTGAAATTATGATATTATGATTCAGCTACATAGACACTCTTTCACCTTAAACACCTGTTTCTCTCCCTGTCAAAGTTGACAATGCATAAAGTTTGTGTATCTCCCTGTGCGGAAATATGTACAAGCTCATGCCCATTGCGACGGTATTGTCCTGTCCGTATCGAGTATTCTGGAGTAAATTTGAATTAGGAAACCGCATTGCTTAAACTCTGTCAGTTTGCTGTGCAAGTTTCTTTAGTGGACTGCACTATGTAATTTAACTGAAGTGAAGGGGGCCGTAATGTTCATGGAGGGAAAGATAGATAGGTATTACTATACTGTTTGGTAAAAATTGGCTTGAAAGGAAAGTGCATTTGAAAAATAAATACATGATTAGGATCAAAGCTGAATCTGAGAGGGGAAAATTCTTTTTTTCCACTTCTTCACTTTTTAAAGATGATGGAAATTTGAGACATGATTGGTTTCACTTGATGTCATTATCTGTAAAAGACCTTTAGCATGGTAAGAGCACTAGTACATTATGTTTTGTAACTTGTTTAGTACATTATGACTGTGAAAGCTTTTGTTAGGATTTTGTCTTCTTGTGATATTGTATTAATACTAAGCTCTCAGCAATCTGGTGTGTTACTGCAGCTTTTCGATCGATCTGGAATGTTATATGGTGAGCTTGCTAGATTTGTGTTGAGGTTGCTGGGGATCAGGACGAAGCCCAGGAAAGTCCACCCACCAGGCCCTGACGGACTTCCACTTCCTGGACCGGGCAACCCTCATGCCGTTCGGGGCTACAGTGAGGAACCAAAGGCCGCTCCGACTGGTTCTTGGGACAATGTTTGGGAAAATGATGCCTCTAGATAATGTTGGATCAGCTACTTTGGCTGAGTGCACACAGATCGGTCAAGAACGCAATTCGTGTGTGTGAGTGCGTGCGTGTGTGGATTTCTCGAGCGGACTGGATCTCTGTTGTGCTTTAGTGTAATTTGTTATCGTGCAGAAAGCACATATGATAAATAATAAAAGTGCGATGGCTTGGTTGAGAAATCTTGATTATAGTCGCAATAGCTACTGGAATGTGTTGAGTGAGAACTCATTCCTGTTAATTATGTTGCACCAGTGAATGTGTTGGAAACAGCAAATTAAAGGTTTGTTTTGGGAGGGTTGGACTGGCAAGAATATAGACCATTGGGAAATGATTTTCAATGGCGGTTGTTCGCGTACTTTTATTATCAAATGGTCTCTTACAACTTGGAATTGTGTGGGGAAGAAAGATCAATGACCTATTCAACCAGGTCTTTCCCTATGCACTCTGTTTTATTATCAAATGGTCACTTTTATTATATAGGATGCTGAGCGTTCTCGCCCTAGTGAATAATTCTGTACGTGCCACCGATAACAATGTTCTTCGCATTACGACCTGCCATGAACAAGTTAAGCTCGTCTCACACACACCTCAACCAGAAATAAATAAGACATCCGCGCTTGACCAAAGACTTGGGCGCAACATTTGATCGAACCTGGGAAGCCACAAGGAGAGTTTATGTTCTCTGCTGAGTAAACTCGGCAATTTCCGAGGCTTGTGCACATCAGATGCGAGTCAGAACAACAAGGGGACTCTCCTTGCCAAACTTAGAGATTGAACTCAGGGAATTGATCTATAGCTGGTGTTAGGAAGAACAACATTCCGGGATTGAATATTGAGAAGGAGATTGGGAGATTCAACAACAGCTAGACTTTAAATTGGAGTTGCCGCATGTCTATAAGGTTAGACATATGAATTCTCCTGGGAAAAATGCTATTTAGTTACTAGAGCCTAGTCAACCAAAACACAGATTGAGAAGTAATATGGGTAAAATTAATGGAGTGCTCTTGTTTTTGCAAACCTACATTCCGTCTCAGAACAAAGAACCATGTTCGCAGAGCTCCTTTTCTCTCTGCTCTTGGATAGGAGTAGATTACTTCCTTTCACCCACATCTCTCATTGGAGGGAGGGGACATCGTGCACAGCTCATGCCGAGGTCGGCTCAATATAGGTGAATATGTCCCATGCAGACAGGCTATGACTCTCACAATTCCTTTGCCCGTAAGAGTCATCATATTGCCAGCCAAATTGGTCATGTGAGTGCCGACAGAGTAGTTATGTCCACAACCAGGAGACCTATGCCTTCCAAGCTGAGCCAATATCCATCCGAATCATGGCATCAGGATGGCCAACTGCTTTGAGATTACCATAGCATCCATTTCATCCACGAGGCATTAGGCATGAGGCCGAGTTGGTCTTCTTTCCCTGGCCGAACAAGTCAGCTTTTTGCGAGTCTTCTTATCTTTCCCCAGATAATTCCCCACAGAGGAAAAGTCTTCGACTCCCGCCATATGCAGCAATTAACTATGAAGCTTAATTCAAGCAAGATCCAGAGCTTACTCGAGGAACGAGGATATGATCCCCTTCCCATTGAGAGTTGACCTCTTAAGGAATGCTTGTGAACTCCTTCAATCTTTCCATCACACTGCACGAAAAAAAGGAAGAGTTTCGAGATAAAAGTACCAATCGGAAACAATAAACCGGACCTCGCAAAAAGAATCGACATGGCTTTGTGTTTTTTAGCCTCGAGACATGATCCCTCGGAAGCTTGCTATTGACGACTAAGGTGGGCCTAATTCTATTTAATTGATTAGAACTAAGCCTAAGCTATTTATCTAAAAATGAGGCTAAGTCTAAATTGATTTTATTTCTTGAGAATCGAAATTTTATATTGAAACTAATCCTAATGATGATTAAACTAACTATTACAATAGCGAGACCGGATTTGACATTGGTCTTAAATTACTGTCTTTAAGAGCCTCGGCCCCCTCCTCCATGGACCGCTTCGAGTGGCCTCCGTTGATGGTGTCAATTTCCATTCATTTAACTTATTTGCATAACATGCACTCAATCATACAAAACAATCAACAATGTTCATCTAATCAAACATCGGAATAGCCTCGGGGTCGGCTTTTGACTTTCAGGCATTACGATTATCTCAATCTCCCATTGATTAAGACTGATTGATTAATGGTTATTGATAATCGGCCACCACTTGCTTTTACATGACGACGGTCGCATCAATTAACCCTTAATTTGGTTCTAATCGATTTCCAATAGGCCACCCATGGAGCATGCATCGTACACAACATTCATCCAGCAAACACATGCATTTAATTAAACATGCATTTAGGTAATTTGACCTTGATTCTTAATCAATCATACAAGATGAAGCGAACCATCGAAGGGTCACTTATTCAGTTTAATACCAAATTTGGACTAATTATGCTCAAACTCAGTTAACCCATCAAACGAAATCCAATTGAAATGATTCAAGCATCAATAGAAAGCTTAGGACGTACAGTTCAAAGTTCATGAAAAACCACATGACCCAGTTCTAAACCGAAAAACCCGAAATTGAGCAAAAAATACCCGACAGTTTGGAATTGACCCGGATTTGACCCGCGAGATTAAAAAAATATGGAAAAATAGTTTGAAAATTCAAAAGTCTGCCAAATTTAAAAGACATCTTTCTCATTCAGTTATTAACAACTTTCATGTTTTAAAATTTCACAAACAAGCCCTCGAACTGTACGAAATTTGCATGTTTTCCCAGGGATGTCACTGAAAAACAGTTTTGTAGGCCGGGACCGACTTCTTCCCCCTAAAATTTTCTATTTGGTTCTCAAACTTTCCAAATCACTAATTAAGTCCCTAATGAACAACTTTTCAGTTTTGAGTGTTTGCAGAAAAGGACTCGAACTTCGTCGAATTTGCAAAACAAAGTCGATGAGTGTAGGAACCAGAAAAACAAATTAGATACAAAATCTAATCGTCTTTTTGGTTGATGCATAATGCCAATCCAATGATTTAAAATTTTTATTTTTTTAAAACTTGCAGTGTTGGCTACAATTTTTAGGAAGAACACTTTTCGAAATTTTGAACTCAAAAGATTAGAAAAATCTAAGAACCGAGAAAGGTCAGACAGACTCGAAATTCCTGTTTAATCTATTTGTGATCCTTAGGTCTATAACATGAATTAGCATGTTAATTTCGACCATAATTAATCAATTTCATTTGTTAAAGAACTCATTCAACATATTAAGTGTTCAACACCACAACAATCAATTTATAAGTTTGTATAGCCAGCTAAAAGTATTCAACGCTGTATTTTGAATATTTAGTGTTTCATTCTCTTGAGATTTCTAGTGTAGAGTTCTTGTTGTCTTGTACTCGTGAGAAGATTAAGTGTACAAGCTTCATTGCGGCATTTAGTCCTGATAGTACGATCTATCATCTGATAGGATTAGTACTCGCAGGATGTAACTTATCTTGGTGATTACTAGTACAATCCAGCCCAAATTGTGGCTATTAGTTTGGAGAGTGGATGTACGCTTAGTAATAATGCCAAAGCACTATAAGTTGTTTTGTGCTCTCTTTACTTTTGCCGTTACATTATCTATTGGACATTCGTATAACCTGATATTTATCATATCAGCTTCTCCTAATTTCAAAGTATCGGTGCTGATTTCCACATAATTTTCAAAAGTTCATCAAAACAACCTATTCACCCCCTCTAGGTTTCTTAGTTAGTCTCAATAATTGGTATTAGAGCTCCGTTGCTTATTATTTGAAGTATATTACTTTTGAGCATAAAGATCTTTATCTATGGCTAACTTTGATGGTTTCTGTACAAGTGACTCTTGAGCACCTTGCAAGCCTCCATACTTTGATGGCAACAACTATCTCTGAAAGTAGAGAATGCAAGCTTACACTAAAGCAAGTGATTTCATCATGTGTGATGTGATCCAAAATGAATGGAAATAACAGTGCGAACTCCTGCTCAACAAGATGAAGAAAATAATCAAGCTACTGAAAGCCGCGAGCCTGCGGCTACTGCTACTCGTTTACAAGATGCTTAGAGAAGAGCTGCTCAAAATGCTAAAGTTAAACATCTTTTTTATTGTACCTTATCTCCATATGAAGTTAACAAAATTTGATAGTGTATGTTGACACCTAATTTTGTCGACTCCGTAAATTGGTGCTTTTAAAATGTAAATGGGCCAAATTAGTGCAAAAGAGAGATAATAAGAGAGAATTATTAGAAAATGGGCAAAATTAGTGCAAAATAGTTTCTTCGTAAAGTGGGAGCTGTTGGTTAAATTGGGTAGTAGTTGAATAAATTTTCCTTAAATACTTTTTTTATAAAGTGGCAGCAATTGGTAAAAATATTTGAATAAAATTTCGTAAAATAGTTTCTTTACGAAGAACGCACAATAATGAGAATATAATAGGTACAAAAGTAATCCTTATAAATGTTCATAATGGAGAGAGATTATTTATAATATGTATACTTAAAGGATTCTTCACCGAATTATTCGAATAAAATTCCATAAAATAGTTTCCTTATAAGGCGGAAGTGAGATTTGTTGCTAAATTGGGAAATATTTGAAAGTATTTTTTTTTTAAGTGAGAGTTGTTGGTAAAATTGGGGAATATCCGAAAATTCCTTAAAATAGTTTCCTTATGAGGCGAGAATGCACGATAATGAGAATATAATAGGTACAAAAGTAATCCTTATAAATGTTCATAATGGAGAAAGAATATTTATAATATGTATACTGAAAGGATTCTTCACCATAGTTTCCTTATGAGGCGAGAATGCACGATAATGAGAATATAATAGGTACAAAAGTAATCCTTATAAATGTTCATAATGGAGAAAGAATATTTATAATATGTATACTGAAAGGATTCTTCACCATAGTTTCCTTATGAGGCGAGAACGCACAATAATGAGAATATAATAGGTACAAAAGTAATCCTTATAAATGTTCATAATGGAGAGAGAATATTTATAATATGTATATTTAAAGGATTCTTTACCAAATTATTTGAATAAAAATACATAAAATAGTTTCCTTATAAGGTGGAATTGAGATTTGTTGCTAAATTGGATTTGAAAGTATTTTTTTTTAAGTGAGAGTTGTTGGTAAAATTGGGGAATATCCGAAAATTCCTTAAAATAGTTTCCTTATGAGACGAGAATGCACGATAATGAGAATATAATAGGTACAAAAGTAATCCTTATAAATGTTCATAATGGAGAAAGAATATTTATAATATGTATACTGAAAGGATTCTTCACCATAGTTTCCTTATGAGGCGAGAATGCACGATAATGAGAATATAATAGGT